TTTAAATGAGTGCTTTTTAAACTTAACTTTATACAAGAAGCTTATTTTACTATTAAGTTTTTCAAAACATGGTATTTATGTCTGGACAATATTCATGCTATGGATAAACCATAACTTCCTGTTTGTGCAGCGGTAAGACCTGTGTAGCTCAGATCTGTTTTTCAGCCACCCATACATGTACTTACATGTATCTGGAGCATATTTCTAGAAGTGCCTTCTTTGAAGCTGGTATTAAAGCTCACAACAATGACCCCAAAGTTTAATGATTTCCTCTGTATCCTACTTTCATTTCTATGTAATGCTGCTTTTTCTTTTCTCTCTCTCTCCCTTCATAGATTGATGATAGATATATAGATGATAGATAGTTAAGGTAGATAAGATAGATAGATGATATAGATAGATGATATAGATAGATAGATGATAGATAGATAGATAGATAGATAGATAGATAGATAGATAATTTTTGTTTTTAGATAGATAGATAATTTTTGTTTTTAGATAGATAGATAGATAGATAGATGATAGATAGATAGATAATTTTTGTTTTTATTTTTTTTTGGTTGAGGTTAATTTACCTTAGAGTTTGTAGACTCTGAGGACCACTGAGGATATGCCTGGGTAGATGGCCTTGACAGGAGACAGGGCTTGTTAGCAACACAGGTAATTTTGATGATTTTAAGGCATCTGACACATAAATAAAATCAAGATACTTTCTCCACCATTTGTATAGAATTGTGCCTTCAGAAAACACATTGGTGCTGGAAGCCCCTCTGGGAATGCTTTGCAGTCACACCAGGACTGACTGATGAGCCCAAGGGCCAGCGCTCATTGGTGAAAGCTGAATGTGTTGTTTTGCCCCTCATTTCCCAGCCTGCCAGGCAGAATGTGATGGCCTGGGTGAGAGCTGACACGATGGGATGGCAGTGAAATTTCATTTACTTGTAAAATGCGGCCACAGAAGTACTCAGTTTGGCTGTGAGAGGCAGTGCTTTTAACTATCCTGTTAAAGGAAGGATCTTTCAAACCATTACAAAGTCTGCTTTCAGACCTCTAAGTTCTAATTATGTGCGCTCTGTGACCGTGAACTCAGCAGTGTATCAGTGTCTTTGACAGATCCTAAGGATGTTGCGTGCCCATCTGTAGACCACCCCTCTTCTCCAATCCTGGCAGAGAGGAGGGTGGAGATGGCTTCTTTGATAGTTGAATCCCTGGAGAAACATGTCTTCTAGCACCATCAAAATCCTCCCAATTTCCCTCCCCTGTGCTTCTGCTCATTGAGGCATATCTCTTCCCCCTTATCAAGATGTGTCATAAGATTCAATGTGTTTATATGGCTATTTGCTGATCTTTCTGGAAATCTCTCTTTCGGGGACACTGTACCAGCAACTTCTTACCTAGTGTATGGCCTGGTTTCACATGCCAAAGGGATCTTGTGATTTTTGGTGTTGACACTTGTCTTAGCTCAAGGTGTGCCACAGTAATTGTATTCTTTCTCCAAAGTAACACAACACTAGGCTGAAGCTCCATAAGGAGAGACACTATTTTGCTCATTGCTATATCCTTATCAACCTATATACTCCTTCCACTATGGTAAGTCATTAGTAATGAATGAGTGAGTGGTCTCCTTGGCAACCTCCCAAAGACTTTTCCCTTCCTACTGCTGCTCCTTGCCCAGCTCTGCCCCCGTTTTATCTCAAGTGCAGTGCAAGTGGAAAGAAAAGGTCATTTGCAAGTGCTAAGCAAGTCTTTTCATTGTGCTTTCTGGCATCTCTCTGAAGCTACCCTTTGTCCTGAAAGTGCTCAGGCACCAATTACCTTGACACCGTGAATTCCTCTCTTTGCCTATCTTCTGCTTTTTAGGACTGTATTTTACAAAAACATTTAGTTTTTGGTTATTAGAATCCAAATTTGAATTAAATGAAGCAAAAATGTGGAAATTTGTTGGGTCCTCTAACCAGTGGGTACAGCTGGACTCAGGGACAATTGGGACTAGGATTCAAATGATATCAAGAGTCTCTTCATGTGCTTATGGACTCTGCTTTTGTCTGGAGGAAGCTTCATCTAGTCTGCTTCTACTGTAGAGTAACTTTCTCCCCATTGTGTGGAAGTTGGCTGCCAACAGTTTTTAAGTCTCTCAGAATCTCTATTCCAAAGCTTAGTATGAAAAAAATCATAGGCAGAGACTTAGATTGGCCTGGCCTGGATCACATGATGACCCATGGACCTACCTGTGGCCAGAGGACTGGAGTATTGGGATCAGAAATTCCTTTCAGTGAGAGAAGAAAATGATATCCCACACAAATAAATATAATTTCCCGAAAAAAGTGGGTTATTACACAGTATCTGATAATAGACTAAGAGAAGATAGTGATTATTTCCTAACATACCTATGAAAGCCGAGTTTGTGTCAAGATACATCATCCTTCACATTACTGAACAGAGCTATAATAGCTATTCTTGTTTGCTAATCTTAGCGTCTGAGTCATCTTGAAGTCAATCTCTGTTGATTATATATTCTCTTGAGAATGGGTCACATTTTGCTATTTTTCTATATGTCTAGTAATTTTGGATTGTGTCCTAAACTTAGTGAACATTGTGTTGGAGTCTCTGGATTCTGTTGTATTCTTCTGAACGGCGCTGATTTCATTGTTTTAGCAGGCAATTAAATGAAGGGTCTAAAACTGCAAACTTTGTATCTTAGGCAGTAATTCTAATATCAGTTTAGTTATTTTATCTTTGGTTTGACTGTTTTGTGCACGAATGCTTCTGGGATCAGCTAGAGATTTGGGCAGAATTTATAAGCAAAATTTGGGATTCTCCTTTTTTAGCTTTCCTCTTTTCAGGATTCATACCTCCCCATGCCCCCACCTGCCACACATACATGTACACTTTCCAGTGGCTGTGATTATCCCAAACTCTGTCCTCAAGTTCTTTAGGCCAGAGAGATTGTGGTTTGTCTATCAGAGTTTTAGATGCCCTTCATCTAAACTAGGACCTATGTTAGTCTACATTTAAATCACACTCCCAATTGGGAATATTTCACAGTGGTACCTAGGCATCATCCAGATAAATAAAAGGATATCTCAGGAAGAACTTCTGGGTCCGCCCAATACCGACAGCTGACCAGAAAGGCAATGACATCACTCTCCGCAAGCTCCCTGAGAGCAGACACTAAAACTTGTTCCCCATCATGTCCTCAGCACTGAGCATACAGAAGTGTTTGATAATACTTTCAGGGTAAGTAAATAAAAACCTAAATTGATGGATGGCTGGCTGACTGGATGAGTGAATGAATTTTAATGGAATTCTTTACAGAGAATAAACCTTTATACATAAGAATTTGCACAAGATTAGAGGTGGAATAAAAATAAAAATAAGGCCACCATACAGATTAATGACAGATAGATTATTTCTTAGGAATAAGTTCCAATATTACAATGCCACTTCTTATAAGAGCACCTGAGTCTGAGGAGTGCAGACATGTTTCCAGTTCAGAGGCAGACATCTCAGGTAACTGTTGCAGGAAATTATATCTTGTTCTCCCACAGAAGGAAGTGAGGAAGGAGTGTTAACTTTCTATATAAACAATATTCTCAGACTATAGTTGATGAATGCTTTTCTCAGCAGACATGCCTTTGGCACCTCAAGATGATAGGTTTGGAAATCCTGAAGTATCTTCCTCTTTTTCTGAATGTGAAATTTGAAGGGGAATATTTTGATGCGATTTCCTGCACTAAATGGTACCTGAACATTTGCAGACCACAATGCATTTAGAATATTGCATGATCCTAATAGGGTATGGGTTATCAAGAACTAGGGCGATTTGATGTGGGAAAAAAAATCAATAAAAAACATGAGTGAAAAAGGCATAGTGAACAAAGTTGTTAGCAACTTTGAATTTATAAGCAAAATTTGGGATTGCTTCTAAATGAACAATGAAACATGAGAAAAAAGGGGGGGAATATCTAAGCAGAACAAAAGTCCAAGTGCCTTCTGCTCTGGAGTTGTAAAGCCATACATAATGTCAAGGACAGTTCTCAAAACCCAAACAGACTGTCAGTAGTGGAAGGTCAGATTATTCTTCTCGCAAGCAGAAATAAGTTGGTGTTAATGCATGGTGCTTTGTTTCCAGTTATTTTTAAAAATAATTTTGGGCTCAAAAAAGGAGATACAATAGCTGTAACAGTTGAATTATTTGAAGAATCTGAAATGTCTGAGATCAGTAAGTGTCCAATTAAAATTACTTGGGGGCATTTTATATTATAAAAGTAATACATAGTCATTGCTGTAAATCTTGAAACTATAGAGACGCAAAGATTGCATCTTGACTGTTAGTATTTTGTCATATAGGCTTTTAGTATTTTTTCTTTATTTGTTTTCATGCATTTGTCTTAATTATATAAGGAATACAAAATTAAATTCAAGTTATAAAATATAACAGAAAGATATAACACAAAAGGAGAAAGTACTTCCTCACCCAGATAATCACTGCCAAGAGCTTCCTGTCAAGCTCCATTTGTTTTTCTATGCATACATATTTATAAAAAATAGGATTCTATTGTACATTCTGTTTTATGACCTACTGTTTGTCTGATCATAGATTAATTCTATGAATATTCTTTTATATATCATTTCACGTTTTTTATGGAATGGACTTAGTGATTTAATTACTTAATCCCTTATTAATATTTAGGTTGTTCTAATGTTATGATCATCTTGATACATAAATGTGTGTATGTATCATTAGTTAGTTCCTTAGGATAAATTTCCAGAGGGGTACGTTGGATTGAGGGTTTTCTTAACTTTTAAGTTTTCTCTCAAGATTAAAAAAAAATGTCCTCCAGGAGAGTTTTACAAATTTAGATTTCTAACAGCAGAGTATGAAAAAGCCTCTTTCCCTTATTGTTGCCAGTGCTGGGTATTATATTTTTAATCTTTTGTAATCTGATTCGAAAAACATCTTATTATTATAATTTATATTTCTCTGATTTCTAGTAGGATATGAATATGCAACTTCACAGTATAGAAGAATCAGTAAAGTGAATGTATTTAGTATGGTACCCAGGGCTTCTCTGGGTAACTTGGGTCAAGGTGACTCCAAGTGGGAAAGTCACGATTTACATTTTGTAAGATGAAGTGGGATGTATGGCAGTAATGAACTCAGAGATTCCATACCAGCAGCTTCAGTGTCCATGTTTATTTCCCATAAGAAGTAGCAACACCATGAGATGTGCTGGGAGCAAAGACTGAAGCAATGAAAGCCCTCTGGGGCCATGTTTTCTTCTCCTGTGGGAGAGTTTCTTGGCCTTGGGTTCTCTGGTGTCTCTCCCTTTGGCCATCTGACCTGAAAGTGGGACAACCTGTTTGAGTGCTTTTCTTCTTTCTGTAGTAGTTGTTGGCACCAACCCATTTTGGAGGGCCGGTCTATGCACTTGGACCTCATTTTGAATAACCATCCTCTCTCCTTTGCCTAACTCAGTTGTTCTCAACCCTGGACTGCACATCAGACCCGCCTGTGGAGCTTTTGCAAGTCATGCTCCTCTCCCTTCTCCATCTCCTCAGACCAAATAAATGATAATCTCTGGGAAATAGGATCTAGGCATGGTGGGATTTTGTTAAAAGCTCCAGATATGATACTAATATGAATCCAGGATAAAGAACCACCGAGCTTATTTATTTCCAGCCTTCAGTTATCACAGGAAACATCTCTTCATACCTTTTCCTTCCCTGTATTTACATGTGTTTTCTCTAGCCAGCCTCAATTTGGATTTTACTGAGAAGAATCAGAACAACAATATAGGTGAACAATATACAGATTTACTACATAAAGCTAATTGCGGTAAGTATTCAAGGATGCCTTCTTCTAAGTATTCAAGGATGAAGCAATCTCTCCTGCAGGGGGCAGTTTATTAGCATCAGCAAATGAGCCGTTCCCTTAGCTTCAAGGCTGTGGGTCTAGATGCTCAGCCAGGGGACTAGAAGCGGATCTGGTGTTCTGAAGCAGCCTGTGAGCCTAGAGAAACTGTCCTGTCCAAAGCCGACCTGTCTTGTCCTGACCTCTGGCAACCAGGCCACAATTGCATTTCTTTCCATAGACTTGGCTATAGAAATCACCAATCACACTGGCTAGCCTGACCCAAGTCTCCCATGATGGCTTTTCTTCAAGATCTCTTTTTGGGTTGGCTGTGATACAGGACTTTGTAGTTTTCCTTGAGTCTCTCAGTACTGGTCCAAAATGTTTCTCTCTCCCTCATGCTTCTGGTGAACCACAGGAAAGACCAGCTCCCAGCCAAACAAGGAAGCCCACTCCCCTAGAACAATAGTCTCCTTTCTCTAGGGTCTTCTCCAGTTCCCTCTTTGGAAAGCTTCTCCTATATTCTATAACAGCAGGCAAGAGATGGAAGTGCACATTTGATATGCAGAGACTATGCTTCGTATTCAAATACTGCTATTCCAGCAGAAAAGTTCTTCTCAGCATTCTAGAATCCATGAACTCGTTCTAGTTCAGGACTTGTGGCCCTGCTCCCATTTGCTGCTGGGGGGGAATGGAAATGCAGCATACAGAAATGAAATAGTGGCCAGAGGCCTCCAGTCACTCAGGACACTTTAGCGAGTCTCCTCTGTGAGCCTTAATGTTCCCTAATAACACCTGCCCTGTCGGTCCCATGGGGGTTTGCAAATGAGATGATATATGGGAATATGTGATTTGAAACTATGAAGGGATGCACGCTTCTTTACTGGTGTTTGACTTATAAGTAATAAAATGTGCGAAGTTCAATACATTTTGACGAATGTACATACCACTGGAACCAATCGCCAAAGCAACATACAAAAGCTGATTGTTACTGTAGACAGATCTTGTTCTTTTATGATGAATCCACACCACATCCTCCACAGCTGTGCAGGAAAGCACAATTCTGATTTCTATAACCGTAGATTCATTTTCCCTGTCCTTGAATGCCAGATAAATGGCATCCTATACTCTGTGTTTTCTTGTAGTTGATGTCTTTCTCTAATGTAATGTCAGCAAGATACATCTCTGTTTTGTTTATCATTCCATTTTATTGTGGAGGAGTAGTTCATTGCATGAATATACCACATTTTGCGTATCCGTACACTTGTTAATGGATATTTGGATTATTTCCAGTTTTAGCATTATGAATAAAACTACTATGAACATTCTTGTACCTGTAATTTTGTGGATATATACTTTCATTTCTTTTGGGCATGTACTCAAAGGAGAATTTCCAGGTCATAGGGTAGGTACAAGTTTACCTTCATAAGAAACTGCTAAACCACTTTCAAAGGTGGTTTTTGAGAGCACCCGGTGCTCCCCATCCTTGAAAATTTTTTCAGCCTCTTTAATTTCAGCCGTGCTGGTGGGTTTCAGTATGGTTTTAATTTGGATTTCCCTAATGACTAATGGTACTAATAATCTTTGCATGTGTTTATAAGTTATTTGTATATATTCTTTGGTGAAGTGCCAAATCTTGCCTGTTTTAAAAATTAGGTTATTACTAGATCGTCAAACCCCTTTTTTGGTTTCCATTCTTCCAGTTAAAAATCCTTCCAACTATATTAGTTTTGTTTCCATAGCAAACACAATTGAGAACAAATTTAAGAGCAGATTCATAAATCTAATAACCAGTGCTTTTTTTTCTAACTTTAATGTTAATACAAGTCACCTGGATATCCTGTTAAAATGTACATTATGATTTATTAGGCCTGGGGTATGGCCCAAGATTCTGAATTTCTAACAAGATGCTGCAAGATGTGGATACTGCTGGTCCAGTTACCACCTTTGAGTAGCAAAGTAATGAATGCTTCTTCACTGCTAGAGCCCTGGCAGGACTGAAGGTCATTTTTTTACCCACACATCATCTCTATTTACCGTAGATCGCTGTTCTTGTGGAATCATAGACTTAGAATGCCAGAGGTGAAAGAGAATCTCCGAAGTAAGATTCAAAGTTGCAGATTATGGCATATTGATTTCACTAGTGGACCTAATTCTTCAACCTTGTGCATTCAGACCCTTTGCCATGGAATTTTGTTGGGCTCTTTCACTGTGACTCTCTATCAGCCGTGTGACCTACTTTATCCAAGGGGATGTTAGCAGATAGGACAAAGGACAGCCTTGGAGAGTGCTTGTGCATTTGAGTGTGCCCTCGCTTGTTTCTCTGTGTTCACCAGTTTACCTCCTAAAGACATATGGCACCATCACCGCGCTGCTTCAGCTAACCCTCGGCAGACCACCAAACACATGCATGAGCCCGGTGAACATGGGAAGAACTGCTCTGCCCAACCCCACCCAAATTGTTATCTTGTAAACTCATAAGCTAAATAAATACTTATTGTTTTAAATCAATGAGTTTTGGGGGTAGTTTATTTTTACTTATTTATTTATTAAAAGATTTTATTTATTTGAGAGAGGGAGAAGCAGACTCCCCACTGAGCAGGGAGTCCAATGCTGGACCCCAGG